AAACCAGTACATAAAGAGGAAACCAAACAGCACATGGACAAGAAATTCCCACAAATTGAAGCTAGATTTAGAAGAGGCTAGGGAGTGAGTGATGTCACTGATGACATCATAAGGATTTTGGCTGAAAGCTGAGAATACCAGAAAGACATTTACCCGTGTTTTTGACTATGCAAAGGCATTCAGCTGTGAGTATCCTGACAAATTATGGATACCATTGTGAAGAATGAAAATTCCAGAACACTTAATTGTGCTCCACTCTCGTCCTTAGTTGTGTGGAAGGTCTACACAGACTTAAGAAATAATTGTTGAAACAGAACAAGGGAATACTACATGAAATCAGAAAAGGTGTGTGAGGGGTCAAGGTGGTATCCTCTCATCACATCTATTCAGTGTGTGTGTTGAGTAAGTTATCCAAGAAGCTGGAAAATGGGCATCAGGAGAGGAAGAAATCTCATCAACAACCTTGTTTACGGAAAGTAAAAACTCTGATTCATTGCCATTGAGTTGGAATTGACTCATGTCTGAACACCTATTGAGTTTCTGAGGCTATAAATCACATTGGAGGAGACATGAATATTTAATGATGAAAGAAGAACAACATCCAATGTGGTTTATACCTCAAGTGAAAGAAGAGGAACATTCTCACAATTGGACCAATAAGCCACATAATGATAAACAGAGAAAAGACCGAGGTTGCCAAGGGTTTCCTTTTACTTAGTGCCACAATCAAATCTTTGGAAGTAGCAGTAAAAAAAAGAAAAAAGAAAGAAAAAAAAATTCAAATGATATATTGCATTAGGAGGTTTGCAGCAAGAGACCTTGAAAGTGATCAAAAGCAGAGATGTCACTTTGAGCTCAAAGCTGCTCCTGATCTGAGCTCTGGTGTATTTCCCAGCACTTCCTGTGCAGTGAAAGCCAGAGAATAAGTAAGGAAGACTGAAGAATGTTGGTGAAGAATGGTGAATGTACTATGAATTTTTGAGGAGAATCAAGAAATCTGTCTTGGAAGAAATAGGGCCAGAAGGGAGGATAGGATAGTGAGAGTTTATCACATACACTGGACACATTGCTAGGAAGGACCATTTCCTTGAAAAGCTTGTCCTGTGTGGTAAAATTCAGGGTCTGTGAAAAAGAAGAAGACCCTTGATGAGATGGCTTAAACTTGGTGCTTACAAAAATGGGCCTGAACCTAGCAACAGCTTTGAGAATGGTATGGGAACAGTGTTTGATTCTCCTGCACTAGGGTTTAGTAACAACTCAATGGCGGATTGCCGTCCCTGCCTTGCTCCGTGCTTAGGACCCTCGGGCTAGAAAAACAACACTATATACTAGATCTACAGGACAGATCACCCTCCCTTGGGAAACATTGTGACTACAGTGTGCTCCAAATGGAAGGGAAGAGGCCCTAAGCCACAAGAAGTTAAACCTGGATCAGAAACTAAAGGGAAAGGACTTTTCTTCAGAACCATCTGAGATAAGAAGCCTTCCCTAATATTAATTAATACCTTGTATTTGGACTTACAGACCCCTAAACTCAAGAGACACTGACCACAGCATAAGAAATCGGCAGGAGCTTGAAGCATTTGGAATCAGAGAAACCCATAAAGCTTGAGATATCAGCTATCGGATCAAGGAATGGATAGTGGGAGATAGGTGTTGGAGGGAGTAGGTGGGAGCAGAAGGGGATGCTGGTGGAACAGGGAAATGGGTGGGTCAAGACACTCATGTCAAGGGCAGGGACAACACTGAAACTATTGGTTATTTCTATAATTGGGAAATATCTTTCATCTGCATTTTTCTGTAAAATGCTTGTCTGTTAGATACTTTTCTAAATCTGATTATTCAGATTAAGACAGACTAGGAAGAAGGATTGGCCATCCACTTCTGAAATAGCAGGCCTTCAAAAACCCTATGTACAATAGAGCACACTTAGACTAGCAGATAGGACAACAGAGGTGGAGCTTTCAACTATGGAAATACTAAGGAAGAGGAACAGTTGTAAGCAGACCCTAATGATTGGAATGTGGAATATAAGAACTATGAATGTAGGATTAGATACTGATATTGTTAAGGAAGAAATAGAATGCATAAATATTGATATACTAGATATTGGCAAGATGAGATGGCCTGGCATGGGACATTTTGAATCAGACAGTCATATGATATACCGTACTGGAGATGAAAAAGTGAGGAAAAATGGGGTTGCTTTCATAGTTAAAAAAGTAATTTCTAGATGCATCTGAAAATACAATATTGTGAATGACAAGATAATATCCATACAAGGAATTCCAGTGAATACCACTATCATTCTAATATATGCACCACCAACCAGTGCCAAAGAAGAGGAAATAGAAGATCAACTTTTGCAGTCAGAGATCGATAGAATGTGCAATCAAAATGCATTAACAATAATGGGTGACTGGAATGCAAAAGTTGGGAATAGAGAAGAAGGATCAGTAGTTGGAAAGCATGGACTCGGGGATAGAAATGAAGCTGGAGAGAGAATGATAGAATGATTTATTCATTGCAAATACATTTTATAAGAAACAAATGCAGGTTATACACATGGATGTTACCTGTGGTATGCATAGGAATCAAATAGATTACATCTGTGTAAAGAATCACTGGAGAAGCTCATTATCAGCTGTGTAAACTAGGCAAGGTGCTGATTGTGGAACAGAACACCAACTACTCATATTCACGTTCAAGCTGAAGTTAAGGAAAGAGAAATCAATTCCACGGGAACCAAAATATGACCCTGAGTCTATCCTACCTGAATTTCAGAACCATCTCAGGAACAGTTTTGAGGCCTTGAATACTAATGGGTGGAGACCAGATGAATTACAGGAGGACATCAAGAATATTATCCAGGAAGAGTGCAAAAGATCATTACAAATACAGAGGAGAAAGAAAAGACCAAAATGGATGTCAGAAGAGACTCTGAATATTGCACTAGAGCACCAAGAAGCCAAAGCAGAGGGAAGAAATCAAGACATTAAGGAGCTGAACAGAAGATTTCAAAAGGCAGCACAGGAAGACTAAGTGAAGTATTATAATGAAATGTGCAAAGAGCTGGAATCAGAAAATCAAAGGGGCTGAACTTGCTCAGCATTTCTTAAGCTCAAGGAACCGAAGAATAAATTCAAGCCTCAAGTTTCAATACTTAAGGATGCCTTGGGCAGAATATTAAATGTGCTAAAGAAAGATGGAAAGAGTATACAGTCATTATACCAAAAGGAATTGGCGGACACAGAAGAATATTATGAAACAACATATGAGCAAGAGCCTGTGGTGAGGAAGGAAGACGTTCAAGCTATTTTGAAAGAATTGGCAAAAAATAAGGCCCCAGGAATTGACGGTATACCAATTGACATATTTCAATTAATAGATGCTGTCTTAGATATGCTCACCAAGTTGTGCCAAGAAATCTGGAGGACAACCACTTGGCCAAATGTCAGGAAGATATCTATATTTGTTCCCATTCCAAAGAAAGGTGATCCGACAGTGTGAATATTATCAAACAATATCATTAATATCACATGCAAGCAAGATTCTGTTGAAGATTATTCCAAAAGGACTGAAACAGCACATCAACAGAGAACTACCAGAAGTGCAGGCTGGGTTTAGAAAGGGTCCTGGTACTAGGGATATTGTAGCTCATGTTAGATGAATCTTTGCTGAAAGCAGGGAGTACCAGAGGAATGAATGTCTATATGTGAATGTCTATATGTATTTCATTGATTATGCAAAGGCGTTTGACTGTGTGGATCACAACAAACTGTGGCTAACTCTGAGAAGAATGGGAATCCCAGAACACTTGATCATGCTAATGTGAAACCTATACTTGAACCAGGAGGCAGTCATCAGAACAGAGTAAGAAACACTGCATGGTTCAAATTTGGAAAGGGTATATGCCAGGCATGTGTCCTATCTCCATACCTTTCAATCTTTATGCAGAACAGATTATCCTGGAGGCTGGGCTCTATGAGAAGAAGTGTCACATCAGGATTGGAGGAAGACTCATCAACAATCTGCATTATGCAGATGACACACCATGCTTGCTGAAACTGAGGAGGACATGAAGCACTTGCTGTGGAAGGTCAGGGACAGCAGCCTTCAGTATGGATTGAGGCTCAATATTAAGAAAACAAAGATACCACTGGGCCCATTGGCAGCATTATTGAGATTGTTCACAGCTTTAGTTTGCTTGGCTCCACAATCAACACTCTTGGCACCAGCAGCCAGTAAATTAAAAGACATATTGTGATGGGAAAGTCTGTGGTTAGAGACCTCTCTAAAGTACTGAAGAACAACGATCTCAGTCTGTAGACTAAGGTGTGTGTGATACAAGCCATGGTCTTTGTAATCTCTTGCTATGCATCAGAGAGCTGGACAATGACTAGAGATGATAGAGGGAGAATTGATGCCTTTGAGCTGTGGTGTTGGAGAAGAGTATTGATTCTACCATGGACTACTATGAGAAATAATAGGTTTGTCCTGGAGAGGGTGAAGCCAGGCTGCTCCTTTGAGGCAAGGATTCTGAAGCTTTGTCTGACATGTTGCAAGGAGGTACCAGTTCTTGGAGAGGGACATCATGTTTGGGAGGGTGGAGGGACAGTGCAGGAGAGGAAGACCCTCAATGAGATGGACTGATACAGTGACTGGGGTAATGGGGGTAGGTGTATCAGAGACAATAAGATTGTCACAAGATAGAACAGGGTTTAGGGCTGTTGTATATGGGGTTGTTATAAGTCTCAGGTCACTTGATGACACATAACAACAACAACAACAACAACTCAATGGTGCACAGACAAGTAGCTGAGTAAATTGGGGCAAGTTGTCTATCCTTTCTGACCCTCAATTTCTTCCTCTATAACATGAGGCTCATATTAGTCCTCATGCTGTTAGGAAGTCGAAGGAGGTAATAGGAGGGAAGTGGCCAGGGTCTCACATAGCGTGTGCTCAGTAACAATATTGTGGTATCTCCGATGTCTCCGCAGGCTCGTGGCTCTGCAGGCGGCAGGAGAAGGCATGACGCTGCCTCTCAGGAAGACCATGACAAACCTTACGTCTGTGACAGTAAGTACTGGCTGATCCTGCCTCAGTCCCTCCCCAGCCTGGTCCTCCCCTGAGCCTCCTTGGCTGGGCTGTCTGCTCATGGACTCTGCCGGGAAGCCTCAGGCTCTCTGGCTGCCTCCTCTTTACCTGCACCTCAGCTTGCATGGCTGTCACCTCCAGTGCAGTCACCTCCTCCTCCTGCTTTGTTCTGGCCCTGGGCTGCTTCTGCAGGGAGAGAAGCCTGTGAGAAGCAGCCTCCTTACACTGTCTTGTTCTGTCTCCCCTACAATCTCTGTCTCCTTTAAGCTTCATCCTGTGTTTCTTTCTTTGTTTTCATGAGTTACAAACAAAAGCATAAGTCATAGACCTCTGACAAAAGTACTTGGCTTTTGTGATTTTCATTTCTTTCTCGTTTCTCCTCCCCTGGGTTGGGTAAGCTAGGAAGCTTTCTCTGGTGATTACCGGGTGTAATAAACGCCTTTCCCTCCATCTCCAGCCTTTCTTGCTTACTTCAGTAGCATTTCTTTGACAAGCGGCTGCCTGCTTCTGGGTTCAGGATTGGCAGATGGAGAGTGGAGGTGTGGGTAGGGGATGGAGGAGAGGAGTGAAAGGAGATGGCTGGCCCTAGGGTGAGTGAAGGTGGGTGGACCCCAAGAAGCTGTCAGCCTCAAGAGAGCTTCTCTCTTCTTCACCTCCCAGCGCACTGCGTGGTGGGTTTCAAATCCTTGCCCTAATTGTCTTCTCACTGGATCAGGCACCATCTGCTGATTCCAGGGAGGGCAGCCCTCGCACTACACTTTCTGGTGAGCTTCCTTCACTGTCTTCTCTCTGCGGATGCCCTGTTGCAGTCGGAGAGGAAGGGCTGCAGTAAGAATGGCAGGGAGGCCACTCGGGTGGACACTGGCCGCCCCACATCTTGGCTGGTATTTGCTGATTATCTGTGAAGGCACCTAGAGGATTAGGGGAAGATGGGGACCCAGCAGCAATCGGGGGCTGTACCTTCTCCCTTCCTCTTTGCTAGACTCTTGACTTCAGATTGTTGCTCTGTGCTGAGGAGTGACAGCTGGTTGGGGAACATTTTGCTAGAAGAACTCTAAGTCTGTGACCCCCACTTGTCTGCTTAATACGTTATGCAGCTGGCATTGCTGAGATGGTTCTGGCAAGTGCCATCTCCACCCTGACACGACTCTGTTCCAGAGTGGACAGGGACCAGGGTATGCGGTCTTAGGGCCGTTGGCAATGCCACAAAGAGTCTGCTTCACCCCACTCTTGCTTCTGGAGGGGCTTCAGTTTTATCCTGACATATGAAAGTAGAAACATTTTAGCCATTAGAAGACTATGACTCTGGGTCTGTGGGCTGGGCCAGGTCCTTCCAGCTCTCCTGTCCATCTGGCTGGAGAAGCCCATCTAATAAGAAAGCCAAGAGCTGCTTTGGAACTGGGTGGGGCACTGCCACCCTATTCCCCCTTTCAAAAGTTGATTTTCATTATATGATCACAGTCAGACACAGCTGCCATAGATAGTGGGGTTTCTTTTGCTTTATCTCTACGATTCTTATTGGTTTTCCAGGCAATAATAGCCCCATCTCTTCCCATACACACCCTGTATGCCTTTTGCTCTTGCATCCCCACCGACCCATTCCTCTTCCAGCTTCCTCTACCTTCTTAAATGTTGTTGGCAAGAACCTGCTTTGCAGACGCTCCTCTATTCCGAGGCTCACACCCTCCCCCAAGCTCCTGTGGCTTTGTTTGTGGACTCTCAGTGTCTTGCTATTTCCTGGTCTCCTCTCCACATGGTCTCTTCCTCCTTCTGTCCACCCTGTACTGCCTGGAAGGACTTGTCACGGGTCTGGTCTGGGCTTTCTGGAAGTCTCCTTGGCTACTTTCTTGGCTCGGCCCACACGTGTACCACCTCCCTCTCTTCCCTCGTGAGGCCAGGTCCTCTGCAGCCTGCCCTTCTCTATGCCCGTTCTCTTAGGAACTGCTGTGGCAGCGCTGTGATTAATAGACTTTATTTTTATCTGGTGCCCTTCAGACATGTGATCCTTTGGGATAGAAATGACCTTTGGAGAGGTCGTAAGGCCCCCCTCCCCATACCTCTCCCCACCCCCAGCCATGCCAAGAATGCTTTTCATAATCTCTAATGCATCTTAAGTAGAGAGGTATCTGGTCGCCTCCTTGAGTGTCCCCAGGGACAGTGTTACCATAAGCTGCCCTTTCTTCCTTGAATCCAGCTGTGCTTAGAAGGATTGTTTTGCGTTTGTGTTTTGTGTGTGTTTTTTTTAAATAGGAGCTGTAATTTTTCTCTTACAGGCCTCTTTGCCTTTTATGCTGCTACCCCCACCAAATCAGCATTTTTTCAGACCCTCTTGACATCCTCTGTTGACCTAAGGCTACACCCCATAATCCCCTGAGGCCCTGCTTTTAGCTCTCCATCAGATGAATGTAAGACACTCCCATTAGAAGTAGCCTTAAGGACAAGTGGGTCTACCAGCAACAGACCCTATGTACTTGTTTGTTTTACACACCAGCTCTTGACACTCCCATATCTGTAGAGGCTGGAAATTTAAGCACCACATTGCTTTGGGCAGCATCTCCACAACTCTCCTAGTCTGTGCCTGTGCTGACCTTCAGGTTAATCCCTCTCTAGGTATATGTTCTTTTCTACTAATGCATTTGATTATTCTTTCTTCTATAAATCACTCTGCATTTGGCCCTATTGAGTCTCAATAAAGAGATTCAATAATATGTGACTTCAATATACAAGATTAAATAAAGACACTGCCCAGTAGTTAAATTTGATTCCTTACCACTTTGCAAACCCCTGCCATCTTAGCACCCTCTGTGGTTTGATTTACATAATTCCCACTCTTCGCTTTCAAGTTAGTTATGCAAATATTAGGCCATCTTGGACCTCAGCACCTCCTTCTGGGCCTATATTGAATGATAATTGTTATTTTCCAAATGTGATTGGATTTAATACCTTCTTGTATTTATTTCCAAATATACTTGTCTCCTATTATGTTCTTGGTCTAAATGTTTTTTTCAAGATGGGTAGTTGAAATGTTATTAACTCAGCTGCTAACTTTGGGTGATACATAATTTGCCTCTTGTCTTTCATTCAGCCATTGAATTTATCCCATTCCAGAGAAACATTAAGTCTTCTGAACACAATTTATATTTTGCCCAATCCAGGGTATGTACGGGTGGATACTTTTCTTTTCCAGCAAGTAACCAATCTCTATTAATTATCCTAGAAGATTTCTCAGCCTCTTCTGTTTCGATCCCTTGCCAAAGGAGATGGGTTCATTATCCACATGCAAAACAATGGAGTACAACTTTGTGTTAAAGACGATAAGCAGCTGTCAAAGTGGAAGTCCTGGACCATGTGTACACAAATTATTGCAATGCTTATTAAAAACACAGACTCCTAGGCCTTCCAGCAGACTTCCTGCATCAGAATGACAGGAGGCAGGCTTGGAAACTGGCATTTTCTCTGAGCATGGACTTTTGAGAATGCCTGGTATATTTCTTTGAAATTTGGAGATTCTAGCCTCTCATCACTCAGCCACTGTATGATTCCCGGCCTTATGCATCTGCAAGTTCTTGAGTCTCCAGGAATTCTCCAGGCAGAGTGCCACTGGCTTGCATCATTGTATTAGTTGGTCTCTCTAGAATCTTTCCAGTTCTTCCAGTATTGACACAAAACACAGCAGTCCAACATAAAACTCAGTGGTTTAACAGTTGACTTTAATTTACTTAACAGCTTTAAATCCTAATAGTATCATTAGCCCCATTTTATAGATGGGATGAAAACTGGGAGCAGATATGGGAATGCAATCCTTGAATTTAGGCTACTGGGATGCTTTGATTGCAAAAGTTCATGGCTTCTCTTCTTAACTGCTCCCAATCTTAAATTTTCTGGTAGCATCACTGGGGCAGACGCTTAATGAGAGACCTCATTTTCTGTTTTCTTTGTTCAAAGAGCATTGTGGAGAAGAAGATGATAATCATGAGACAATACCCAGGTCCTTAAGGATTTGCCATTTAGGGAGGAGTAACCCAGGTATCTCAGAACAGTGGTAGTGCACAAGTAGAATTCTCTCCTTCTACCTAGGAGACTTGAGTTCAATTCCCAACCGAGGAAACCAATACCTGGTCACAATTCCTTTGTCAGAGGACATATATGTGTTGCTATGGTCCTGAACAGATTTCAGTCACGTTTTAAGACAGGCTTTGGACAGTCAGTGATCCACTTCATTAAATCAGATGTGAAAATCTTATGGGTCATGTTGATCTGACTTTGTTGTGTGACAAAAGTGATTGCCTCCTGCCCTTCAAATTTTTCCACTTATAAATCATATTTCATTCTTCCCTTTTTATTCTCCAATTCCAGCTCTCTGCACATTCCATCGTAATACTTTGCTTTGCCCTCTTAAGGTGCCCTTTGAAATCTTCTGTTCAACTGTTTTACTTTGACATGTTTTCCTTTTGTTTTGGCTTCTCGAAGCTCCACTGTAATCTTTAGAGTCTCTCCTGACATCCATTTACTTTTTTTTTCTCTTTCTTCTCTGTTTCTATAATGTTCTTTTGCTTTCTTCATGGATGATATCTTTGATCACATCTCACAACTCATCTGGTCTTCGATCATTGGTGTTCAATGCCTCAAACTTATCCTTAAGATGATCTTGAAATTCAGATGGAATTGTTTCAAGATCATATCTTGGTTCCTGTAGACATATTTGAATTTTCTTCAGCCTCACTTTGACCTCCCATATGAGTAATTGATGACTCAGAGTCCACCCCGGTCTAGGTTGTGTTGTTTTTTGTTTTGTTTTGTTTTGTTTTTTTTAGTTTGTTTAGTTGATTTTTTTTTTAAATTTTATACTGGTTTACATATAAAGTTCATACAATTTGTATACATCGTTTTTCATACCAGATCTTTCCCCTTTCATTTTCCCATGCATTCCTCCACCCAACAAATTGTGTGAACCTATGATTAAGTGCCCCCGCCCCTTCTTG